GGTTTAGTGAATAGTATGCAATTTTACTCATGCTATTAAAACAGTTATCAAGAGTATTTCATATTGAAAGTCTACTAGAAAATATTATTTTAGTGCTTATTAATGTCCATACTAATTTCGGCTTTTAATTCTATGGGGTTGCGGGTCACTTACTTTTTAGCGCAATTTCCATACTGGGCAATTGCGATTATTATTTCGTTATTTCTGGATGGATGGATGGATGTGTGTCCGCAGCTTTAAATCGTATCTCCTCCTCAACGAAGCAATATCGAGGACTAGTTCCAAAGCAAATATGTTAAGCAAGTTTCGAGGATGATTGTGGGCCAAAAAATTCCCGGAATTCCTTCCTGGATTTTCCCGGAAAAGCAAAAAAAAAACTCGAAAAAATTGCAGTTTTTGGTCCATATCTCGGCAACCAGACCACTTAGCGACTTGAAACATGTACCAATCGATTTCTGTCATAATTTAGAACAATATTGCAGAAGAAAGTTTTCAAAAATATCCTTTCGTTCGGTCACAAAAAATTAATTAAGGAAATTGCGCTTAAATTGTCACTAGACTTTAACTTGTTATAAAAGGGGGTCGCCACTCGAAATGTTTGGGAACCACTAATATAGATAGATAGATAAAAATATATAGACGTTGAAATAAAATATTTCTGTCTATGTATGTATAGGCCTGTGCAAACTCAAACATGCAGGCACACAACACACGCACAGAGCCTTAATCTGTATTGGTGAGCAATCTGTGTGTAGTTTATTATGTGCGCAAGCTTTTATTTAAGAATATGTGTTAGTTTATTTAATTTTTTTCTGTGCATTTAAAAGTATTTTGTATTTGAATTATTAAAAAATAAGATGGATGACCCATTTGAGAAACTCAATTCTACATTTAATCTTAAGGCCTATGAAAAAAAACGATAAATAATTAGCTTTTGGATATAGCTTAAATGATATTTATGTGTGTTTGTTCATTAGATACGAATATTATTATCAGTTATCTAATTTGAGATTACAAAAGATTAATAGATTCAAGCTATTTTTGGGTCTGTGTTAGGTTGGCATGGGTGCAGTCAATGTCATTTCTGTGCTTAAATGTTCCCAACCAGAAAGTGGACAGAGGGAAATCCCAAAACACTCGACTGAATCTCAATCATTTCTATATTTTGTCGCTTGGTTTAATTAATTTTTTTTTTATTATACATAATTATTTTGACTCTGATTCATGTAAAGTGAATCACGGTTTGTTTTACCTCCACTTGCGCTCAGTGCGGGCTCCTTGCTAGTTACAATAGGAAATCATACTTATTTATTGAGCCTCAGTAGACTAAACAAGATATCTAAAACATTTTGGTGTTAACATATTCGGTTATAAACACATGAGCGATTTTTTTACGCCTAGCTTGATTTTGGCTCTTAGTTTTCACACAGAACGTCTCTGTGCGGATCGTGTGTGGTTAATCCACAGATCCTTCCTATAGGACACTAAGGGTCGTCCATAAATGACGTCACACACCTAGGGGGAGAGGGTTCAGACTTTTATGACTATGTGTGACAAGGTGGAGGGGGGAGAGACAGTGTGACATCATGTTGTATAAATACCACGAATTTATTGACATGCATTTTTTTAGTTTTTAGAAAAATAAACTTACTAGATACTCAAAAATTGTGTATACATTGGTTGCGATACTTCGAACAATATGTAAACGTTTGTATAAGTTGTCGAAAGATTGCGAAATGTATCTTTGTTCAAATTAAATTGCCCTATAATTTGACGATGTATGTTGTGTAGTATACTGCCGTATTTGCAAATTTGTCAATACTGCTATATAAATAAAGGTCGGAAGCATGTCAACTAGTGAGGGTAAGGCAACGGTAACAGTGTAATGGGTGCTATTCTTTGAAGTTTAAAGAGTAGGGCAGTCATAATAAAACTTTAAACCCCGTTTCCCAAATATTTTATTAAAAAACTATTTACACAACTTATGTTCACACTTAGGGCTGCGACTCTTGCCCTTGATGACACGCCTTGTCTCCCTTACATCATGGTTTTCATGTCGGTAGCTCATGTTAGAGCAACGATCTCGCTAAAAGGTTGATCTAATAATAATCTCATATATTCTGCTTTGTCTGTGTGAGTCTTAAAAAATAAACTATTAATCATGGGTAGAAGTAAAATGTTCCAGTGAATTTGTAATGCCTACGTGCTGGCATATCCTAAAAAGAGTAAAAATGTTTGCTAAGAAGAAGTTGTTGAAATGTGGAGTAAACTAAAAAGTGATAAGAAGAGACACTGAATGCTTTGTTTGAAGAGAATCCGGTGCCAAGCGCCACTTTGAATGTTAGATCTAATCCTGGCAGGCCAAGGATTGAAGAAGATCAATCTTCTTTATTGGAAACTATCATAAACATTGCTTTGCATGGATCAGCATCACACGAGAGGAGGCACAACGAAGTCTACAGGACTATTAAAACATTAGATCAGTAACTGATCAGTTAAAACAGGATGGGTTTATAATTAGTAGAAGTGGGCTGTACCGTCGAATGTTGCCGAAACGTACTTGTTCTCTTGAAGAACAACGACATGTATCGAAAGTCCCAATAAAACTGATAAGAGCGCAAAACGATTGCTATGTAAATCACATTGATCGCTTGTTTACAGCGGCAACACTGCATCACCTAGAAGAGTTAGCTTCCATGCTTGGACCGAATGAGGTATGCTTTATAAGTCAAAATGACAAGGCCCGCGTTCCGCTTGGGTTGACAGCATATGTAATATAGAGTCCAATGCACATGGAATACAGGGTGAGCTTGCCTGACCATGACTGGGTTGTGGCTGCTGGACATAAGCTGATCCCTTCAGTTTATGCCGGGATAAAAATTCAGCCCAACGCCTAGGGAAATCGAGAAGCCGTTGGATACTCCGGCCCAACATACATGCCAATCAGTTCTGGTAAACATTCCTCATCCACAGCACCGAGTCAAAAACTTAATTTTGAAAAAAATACTTACTTTACATGAATTTGATGATATAAAAAAGAGTGATGTGGATCAAATTGTTAAACCAATATTATTGTTGACGGTTGATGGAGGCCCAGACGAAAACCCTAGGTATCAAAATGTAATTAAAGTTGCGGTACACCACTTTCTTAATCAGAACTATGATGTTGTGTTCATTGCTACCAATGCACCAGGAAGAAGTGCATTTAATAGGGTTGAAAGAAAAATGGTGCCACTTAGCAATGAGCTCACAGGATTAGTTTTACCCCATGACCACTACGGCAGTCATTTGGATGAAAGAGGAGTCACAATAGACACAGTGGATACATTTCCTACAGTGGCAGCATACATAGATACAGAAGATTCTGAACTCATTGAAACGTCTCTGCTCTCAAAAGATCAGCGTTGGCACGATATTCATGTGAGAACTAGCCAGTATTTGACTCAGATCGTTAAATGCATGGATGGTAAATGTTGCTCAAAGCCAAGAAGCTCGTATTTTAGCGTAATAACTGATAGATTTCTTCCTCCACCTTTACCAGTCGCCCAAACAGGCTGTGGACTAACAATATCTGAGCGTTCAACAGATGGCTCTTCACATACATTTCCATCTCTTTTTGTTGCTCAAAGTATAAAAGTGGACGAAATCCTTCCCCGCTCTTCAAATTTTTATCGCACAATCCCTTATGATTTGTATTGTCCGTCTGTTCAATCCGTAATCAGCGACAGGGTTTGTAAGAAGTGTCACTCAAACTTCTTTTGATTGGTTATGCTGCGCAATCATTCCTTAACTCACAAACAGGAATCATCAATTGTGCCATTACAGCGCATCAGGCCTCTGAGAGTTGCTGCACACCGCCAACGTGAACTGATGGTTATAATTGCCAATGAAATTAATGGTGAGAGTGTAGGTTGGATAGAAGAGGAAGACCTTGATGTAAAGGGAATTTCCATTCCATACGGGGGGGAAAAAATCAATTCCGTCCCTGTGTATTCAATGAAAGTACATTTTAATTCTCCATGGGAGAATGAATACGCTTAAATATTACAACTTTTTATTGAGTATTGCCATATTAATTCTGTTGTAAGTAAGTAGTTTTTTTAATACTTCGGTTATTGATCTTTGCTATAAATAAGCAATATGAATGTATATAGATATGGTCGGTTAAGAATAACCTGTTACTGATATTATTATTTAATCGTTTGTTGATTCCAAATTTGCACAATTGTGTTACAAATAATGTAATCTTTTCAACTTAACATTACCTCACTGTTTTATTGTTTACCTGCTGGTTCCGAGTATGGGTCCTGCACGTTCATTAATAATGCCGTGTAAACGAGCGGTAGTTTTAAAGGGATAAAAAATCAGAAAATGTAAAACATAGGAAACATTGTAAATTAGGGGGATTGGGGTGGAGTGTGATGTCATTTAAGGGAGGGGTCTGACTTTTTGTAACGATGTTTGACGTAGGAAGGAACGGGGTAAAATTGGCCAAAAAACGCGTGACGTCATTTATGGACGACCCCCTAGAGCCTAAGGTAATGTTTGGTTTACAGAAAGCTGTTATTGATTTGCCTGTACTTTTTTTTAGCTTCAATATTGGGGTTATTTATTTTTACTTTTTTACAGACATACCCAATTACTTAAAATTATAGGTGAACATTTTTTTTTTAGAAATGTAGACGAAAACAAAATCCAGCTATTATAAACAAACTTTAAAAAAAATTACTACAATAATTAAAACCTTTTATGTGAGTAGGATTTGTCGAAATATTATTATAGTTTTTGTTATAATATAAAAAATGCTTAAATTAAATTAAGTCTAAATAATGTTTTAATGCGAATTTATGCTATAAAATGTAACTAATAAAATACGTAGTGATACTCATTGTTAATAATTATTGTCTCACAGAATAGGCAGACTAAGACTACATAGCTGAAAATCTAAATTAACTTCTCTACATCGATGGACGGGCTGGATTAATGCTTAAAACTAAAAAATGGATTATAGAAGAGCTATAGAACTGTTAATTCAAACAGGATGTACAGTTAATTCTAAAGAGAATGATGCAGGTTCTGCATTACTGATTGCAGCAAGCTATGGGCATATTAAAGCTCTACAATTGTTAATTAATATCGGGTGTGGAGTTAATTATGTTGATACAAACGGTTGGACAGCATTACATTTTGCAACATGTAATGGACATGAAAAAGCAATAAAGCTGTTAATTCAAGCAGGCTGTGATGTTAATTTAATTGGAAAAGATGGATGGACTGCATTAAAGCTTGCTTCAATCAATGGACATGAAAACGCTATAGAAATGTTAAACCAAGCGGGATGTGATATGAATATTGTTGACAGCTTTCATTGTACTGCATTAATGCTTGCTTCGATCAATGGACATAAAAAAGCAATAGAACTATTAAATAAAGCCGGCTGTGATGTTAATGTTGTTGACATTTTTGGATTAAATGCATTAATGCTTGCTTCGATCAATGGACATAAAAAAGCTATAGAACTGTTAATTCAAGCCGGCTCTGATGTTAATATAGTTGATCAAAATGGAACGACTGCACTAATGCTTGCCTCTCAGAATGGACATGAAAAAGCGATAGAACTGTTAATTAAAGCCAAATGTGAAGTTAATGTAGTTGATCAAAATGTAAAGACTGCACTAATGCTTGCTTCTCAGAATGGACATGAAAAAGCGATAGAACTGTTAATTAAAGCCAAATGTGAAGTTAATGCAGTTGATCAAAATGGAAAGACTGCACTAATGCTTGCCTCTCAGAATGGACATGAAAAAGTGATAGAAATGTTAATTAAATCAAAATGTGAATTTAATGTAGTTGATGAAAATAGGAAGAATGCACTAATGCTTGCTTCTCAGAATGGACATGAAAAGGCGATAGAATTGTTAATTAAAGCCAAATGTGAAGTAAATGTAGTTGATCAAAATGGAAAGACTGCACTAATGCTTGCCTCTAAGAATAGACATGAAAAAGCGATAGAACTGTTAATTCAAGCCGGCTCTGATATTAATTTAGTTGATAAAGATGGATGGACTGCACTAATGCTTGCCTCTCAGAATAAACATGAAAAAGCGATAGAACTGTTAAGTAAAGCCAAATGTAAAATGAATATCCTTAATAAAGATGGATGGACTGGCCTTATGCTTGCCTCTAAAGATGGGCATGAAAGAGTGATAGAACTGTTAATTCAAGCCGGATCTGATGTTAATATAGTTCATCAAAATGGAACGACTGCACTAATGCTTGCCTCTCAGAATGGACATGAAAAAGTGATAGAACTGTTAATTCAAGCCAAATGTGAAGTTAATGTAGTTGATCAAAATGTAAAGACTGCACTAATGCTTGCTTCTCAGAATGGACATGAAAAGGCGATAGAATTGTTAATTAAAGCTAAATGTGAAGTTAATGTAGTTGATGAAAATGGAAAGAATGCACTAATGCTTGCTTCTCAGAATGGACATGAAAAGGCGATAGAATTGTTAATTATAGCTAAATGTAAAGTTAATGTAGTTGATCAAAATGGAAAGACTGCACTAATGCTTGCTTCTCAGAATGGACATGAAAAGGCGATAGATTTGTTAATTAAAGCCAAATGTGAAGTTAATGTAGTTAATCAAAATGGAAAGACTGCACTAATGCTTGCTTCTCAGAATGGACATGAAAAGGCGATAGATTTGTTAATTAAAGCCGAATGTGAATTTAATGTAGTTGATCAAAATGGAAAGACTGCACTAATGCTTGCCTCTCAGAATGGACATGAAAAAGCGATAGAACTGTTAATTAAAGCCAAATGTGAAGTTAATGTAATTGATCAAAATGGAAAGACTGCACTAATGCTTGCCTCTCAGAATGGACATGAAAAAGCGATAGAGCTGTTAATTCAAGCCAAAAGTGAAGTTAATATTGTTAATACAGATGGATGGACTGCTCTAATGCTTGCCTCTAAGAATGGACATGAAAAAGCGATAGAACTTTTAATTCCAGCCAAATGTGAAGTTAATATTGTTAATACAAATGGATGGACTGCACTAATGATAGCCTCTAAGAATGGACATGAAAAAGCGATAGAATTATTAATTCAAGCCGACTCTGATGTTAATTTAGTTGATAAAGATGGATGGACTGCAGTAATGCTTGCCTCTCAGAATGGACATGAAAAAGCGATAGAACTGTTAATTCAAGCCAAATGTCAAGTTAATATTGTTAATACAGGTGGGTGGACTGCACTAATGCTTGCCTCTAAGAATGGACATGAAAAAGCGATAGAATTGTTAATTCAAGCCGACTCTGATGTTAATTTAGTTGATAAAGATGGATGGAATGCACTAATGCTTGCCTCTAAAAATGGATATGAAAAAGCGATAGAATTGTTAATTCAAGCGGGCTCTGATATAAATTTAGTTGATAAAGATGGATGGAATGCACTAATGCTTGCCTCTAAAAATGGATATGAAAAAGCGATAGAATTGTTAATTCAAGCGGGCTCTGATATTAATTTATTTGATAAAGATGGAAGGACTGCACTTATGCTTGCCTCTGAAGATGGACATGAAAAAGCGATAGAACTGTTAATTCAAGCCAAATGTGAAGTTAATATACTTAATAAAGATGGAAGGACTGCACTTATGCTTGCCTCTAATAATGGACATGAAAATGCGATAGAACGGTTAATTCAAGCCAAAAGTGATGTTAATATAGTTGATACGGATGGATGGACTGCACTAATGCTTGCCTCGCTCAATGAATATATAAAAGCGATAGAACTGTTAATTAAAGCGAAATGTGAAATAAATATAGGTTATAAAAATGGATGGACTGCATTGATGGTGGCATCGCAGAATGGACATGAAAAAGCGATAGAAGTGTTAATTCAAGCCGGCTCTGATGTTAATATAGTTAATCAAAATGGATGGACTGCACTGATGATTGCATCGCAGAATGGACATGAAAAAGCGATAGAAGAGTTAATTCAAGCCAAATGTATAGTTAATATACTTAATAAAGTTGGAGAGACTGGACTTATGCTTGCCCCTAATAATGGACATGAAAAAGCGATAGAATTGTTAATTCAAGCCGGCTCTGATGTTAATATAGTTAATAAAAATGGATGGACTGCACTGATGATTGCATCGCAGAATGGACATAAAAAGGCGATAGATTTGTTAATTAAAGCCAAATGTGAAGTTAATGTAGTTGATCAAAGTGGGATGACTGCACTAATGCTTGCATCTCAGAATGGACATGAGAAGGCGATAGAACTGTTAATTAAAGCCAAATGTGAAGTTAATGTAGTTGATCAAAGTGGGAAGACTGCACTAATGCTTGCCTCTCAGAATGGACGTAAAAAAGTGATAGAACTGTTAATTAAAGCCAAATGTGAAGTTAATGTAGTTGATCAAAATGGAACGACTGCACTAATGCTTGCCTCTAAGAATGGACATGAAAAAGCGATAGAACTGTTAATTCAAGCCAAATGTGAAGTTAATATACTTAATAAAGATGGAAGGACTGCACTTATGCTTGCCTCTAATAATGGACATGAAAAAGCGATAGAACGGTTAATTCAAGCCAAAAGTGATGTTAATATAGTTGATACGGATGGATTGACTGCACTAATGCTTGCCTCGCTCAATGAATATATAAAAGCGATAGAACTGTTACTTCAAGCGAAATGTGAAATAAATATAGGTTATAAAAATGGATGGACTGCACTGATGGTTGCATCGCAGAATGGACATGAAAAAGCGATAGAAGTGTTAATTCAAGCCGGCTCTGATGTTAATATAGTTAATCAAAATGGATGGACTGCACTGATGATTGCATCGCAGAATGGACATGAAAAGGCGATAGATTTGTTAATTAAAGCCAAATGTGAAGTTAATGTAGTTGATCAAAGTGGGAAGACTGCACTAATGCTTGCCTCTAAGAATGGACATGAAAAACCGATAGAACTGTTAATTAAAGCCAAATGTGAAGTTAATGTAGTTGATCAAAGTGGGAAGACTGCACTAATGCTTGCCTCTAAGAATGGACATGAAAAAGCGATAGAACTGTTAATTAAAGCCAAATGTGAAGTTAATGTAGTTGATCAAAGTGGGACGACTGCACTAATGCTTGCCTCTAAGAATGGACATGAAAAAGCGATAGAACTGTTAATTAAAGCCAAATGTGAAGTTAATGTAGTTGATCAAAGTGGGAAGACTGCACTAATGCTTGCATCTAAGAATGGACATGAAAAAGCGATAGAACTGTTAATTCAAGCCGGCTCTGATGTTAATATAGTTGATCAAAATGGAACGACTGCACTAATGCTTGCCCCGTTCACAGGAAATGAAAAAGTGATAGAACTGTTAATTAAAGCCAAATGTGAAGTTAATGTAGTTGATCAAAGTGGGGAGACTGCACTAATGTCAGCCTCGTTCACAGGTACTGAAAAAACGATAGAATTGTTAATTCAAGCGGGCTCTGATGTTAATTTAGTTGATAAAGATGGATGGACTGCACTAATGCTTGCATCGTTCAACGGACGTGAAAAAGCAATAGAACTGTTAGTTAAAGCCAAATGTGAAGTAAATGTAGCTGATCAAAATGGAAAGACTGCACTAATGCTTGCCTGTCAGAATGGACATGAAACACTTGCAGAACAATTGATTAAATCCCACAACGTTCCTAATTTTAGTACAATTGGATGTAAAGCACTTTCCATTAGGCAAAGGCATGAAAAAGCGATAGAGCTCTTAATTCAAGCCGGCTCTGATGTTAATTTAGTTGATAAAAATGGAAAGACTGCACTATTCATTGCCTCTTATAATAGACATGAAAAAGCGATAGAAATGTTAATTCAAGCCAAATGTAACGTTAACATTATTAGTACAGATGGATGGACTGTACTTATGTTTGCCTCGTTCAATGGATATGAAAAGGTGATAGAGCTGTTAATTCAAGCCGGCTCTGATGTTAATTTAGTTCATAAAGATGGATGGACTGCACTAATGCTTGCCTCTAAGAATGGGCATAAAAAAGCGATAGAATTGTTAATTCAAGCCGGCTCTGATGTTAATATAGTTGATCAAAATGGAACGAATGCACTAATGCTTGCCTCTAAGAATGGACAAGAAAAAGCGATAGAACTGTTAATTCAAGCCAAATGTGATGTTAATATTGTTAATACAGATGGATGGACTGCCCTAATGCTTGCCTCTAAGAATGGATATGAAAAAGCAATAGATTTGTTAATTCAAGTGGGCTCCGATGTTAATATAGTTGATAAAAATGGAAAGACTGCACTAATCCATGCCTCTCAGAATGAACATGAAAAAGCGATAGAACTGTTACTTCAAGCCAAATGTAAAGTTAATATTGTTAATACAGATGGATGGACTGCACTAATGCTTGCCTCTAAGTTTGGGCATGAAAAAGCGATAGAGCTTTTAATTCAAGCCGGTTCTAATGTTAATGTAGTTCATAAAAATGATGGATGGACTGCACTAATGCTTGCCTCTAGGAATGGACATTTAAAAGCGATAAAACTGTTAATTCAAGCCGGCTCTGATGTTAATATAGTTAATAAAAATGGAGAGACTGCACTAATGTTTGCCTCATTCAATAAACATGAAAAAGAGATAGAACTGTTAATTAAAGCCGGCTCTGATGTTAATTTAGGTGATAAAGATGGATGGACTGCACTAATGCTTGCCTCTAAGAATGGACATGAAAAAGCGATAGAACTGTTAATTCAAGCCGGCTCTGATGTTAATATAGTTAATAAAAATGGAGAGACTGTACTGATGTTTGCCTCATTCAATAAACATGAAAAACAGATAGAACTGTTAATTAAAGCCGGCTCTGAGGTTAATTTAGTTGATAAAGATGGATGGACTGCACTGATGCTTGCTTCTCAGAATGGACATAAAAAAGCGATAGAATTGTTAATTAAAGCCGGCTCTGATGTTAATATAGTTGATAAAAATGGAACGACTGCACTAATGCTTGCCTCTGATGATGGACATGAAAAGGCGATAGAACTGTTAATTAAAGCCAAATGTGAAGTTAATGTAGTTGATCAAAGTGGGAAGACTGCACTAATGCTTGCCTCTCAGAATGGACATGAAAAGGCGATAGAACTGTTAATTAAAGCCAAATGTGAAGTTAATGTAGTTGATCAAAGTGGGAAGACTGCACTAATGCTTGCCTCTCAGAATGGACATGAAAAGGCGATAGAACTGTTAATTAAAGCCAAATGTGAAGTTAATGTAGTTGATCAAAGTGGGAAGACTGCACTAATGCTTGCATCTCAGAATGGACATGAAAAGGCGATAGAACTGTTAATTAAAGCCAAATGTGAAGTTAATGTAGTTGATCAAAGTGGGAAGACTGCACTAATGCTTGCATCTCAGAATGGACATGAAAAGGCGATAGAACTGTTAATTAAAGCCAAATGTGAAGTTAATGTAGTTGATCAAAGTGGGAAGACTGCACTAATGCTTGCATCTCAGAATGGACATGAAAAAGCGATAGAACTGTTAATTAAAGCCAAATGTGAAGTTAATACAGTTAATAAAGATGGAAAGACTGCACTAATGCTTGCCTCGTTTAAAGGACATATAAACGCGCTAGGTTTGTTAATTCAAGCCGGCTCTGATGTTAATATAGTTGATACAGTTGGATGGACTGCACTAATGTCTGCCTCGTTCAATGGACATGAAAAGGCGATAGAACTGTTAATTAAAGCCAAATGTGAAGTTAATACAGTTAATAAAGATGGAAAGACTGCACTAATGCTCGCCTCGTTTAAAGGACATATAAACGCGCTAGGTTTGTTAATTCAAGCCGGCTCTGATGTTAATATAGTTGATACAGATGGATGGACTGCACTAATGTCTGCCTCGTTCAATGGACATGAAAAGGCGATAGAAAGGTTAATTCAAGCCGGCTGTGATGTTAATTTAAAAGAAAAAGACGGAATGACTGCATTAATGTTTGCCTTTAAGAAAAGACACGAAGAAGCTACTGCAGCTTTAATTCAGTCCGGTTGTGATGTTAATATTGTAGATAAAGATGCAATGACTGCTTTAATGCTTGCAGCTCAGAATAGACACAAAAGAGCTGTAAAAGTCTTATTAAAATGTTTAATTGCATTTAACAAACTTGATTTGGAAGTAACCAATATATTGTGCAGCTGTATAAAGAGCTTTGGCAACAACAATCCTAATAACTTAGAAAGCGCTCTTTGTCTATTATTAAAGATTGCAGAATATGATCCGCATCTGCTGAAAAATAACAAAACGCTAATTGAAGCAATGGAAACCCTAATGAAACATAGCTCACCTACATTGCAAAATATGTTATCCTCTATACTTTGGCATGTCAACAAGACTTCTCTTTCTTTTGAAAAAAATCTAGGCAAGTTACATTTAGATTTATTGCATTTTTTCGTTTATATTTAATTTTAATGTAATATATGAACAAAGGGTAAATCTTACTGATAAAAAGAAATCATAAATGATTAATATATATAATATTTCCAATATATTTTGAATTTAAATAATTTATATTAAGCCAAAATAATCCTGACTTAACAATGTAAATGCAATATGTTTTAAACATTTTAGATAAATATCTATCACCTAATGTACCAGCTAAGTGGAAGATGAGCCAAAGAATAATTGGAGCAGGCTCAAATGGATGTGTTTACATAGTAGAGAGTGAAGATTTTGTATCTGATAAAAAGCTAGTAGTAAAAGAAATTAAAACTCCAGTAGAAAATTTGGTAAGTATATTTAAATGTTAAAAGGCATTTCTAATAATTTAAAATCTTGTTTTTCAAATGCCATTAAAGACTTTAATAATATGTAATTCTTTTTTTTTGTTGCGAAAATGCGTTTATAAATACTATACATTTAGATCAGAAAGTCTAAATGCGAAAACCGATCATGTCCATCTTGTTTCTGGCCTAGACATATGATTGTTTATTAAAATCTGCAAAATCATCATCTATTCTCTTTTTGTATCCAACAGACATGACAACGCCACGTCCGACGAAATAGCCCTGCTTTTGACAGTTGTTTTTCTGCTATGTGCCTATCTATACGTCTATCTCGACCTTTATTTTTACAAGTTTTTATTTAACTCACTTCCTCTGTCATCAGTCTGTCATCGGTCTGTCTAGATCGAAACGCCGGAGTGAAAATTCGGACACTTCTACTTGACCGATACGATTCACAGTTGGTACGCGGGTCAAGACAAGAAGACAATGCAAACTGAAATTAAATTTGACTTAATTGGATGCCTAATTAAATTTTTTATGAATTATTTAAAATTAGGTCCGAATTAGTAGGCATGTCTATCCAACCACACCACACGCGCCATCACGTTCCATGGCTGCGCCATCACGTTCAGTAGGCGCGCAATGGTTTTTAGTCATGTAACTCTATTGTAAATTGAACATGTAAAGTACTGAAAAAAATTCATAAAAAACGTTTTAATAACAAGCTTTTATGTAATAATGCACTAAAAAGTAGAAAATAAACTATAGACTAATATTTAAATAACTATAAAGAAAAGCGTGTGTGTCTTCCTTAACATTAGTAAATGTATCCAATATATACTAAAGTGACTAAAGTGATATATATGTATATATATATATATATATATATATATATATATATATATATATATATATATATATATATATATATATATATATATATATATATATATACAAATCGGCTCATGACAAATTATCTCAAGGACAAAATATCTCACGGACAAAATATACACACAAAAATATATCAGTCCAAATGATATCATGGACAAATGTTCTCAGACAAAATATCTCACAGCAAAATTTTAATAGTATATACGATGTGGTACGTTTTTGGTTAGGGTTAAGTTCAGAGTTAGAGTTAGGTTTAGGGTTATGTATTATTTTCTCAAACGTCCTTAATTGTATATACATTTTATTATAAAAGTAATATATTTCCTAAACCCCTGCAATGCCGAAGATATACTGATTAATAAACATATAAGTTAGGGTCCTTTATAGTTAGGGTTTTCACATAGGCCAACGCAGGGCTTATCCGGGACGGCTAGTATATATATATATATATATATATATTTATATATATATATTTATATATACATATATATATATATATGTATATATATATATATATATATATATATATATATATATATATATATATATATATATATATTTATATATATATATATATATATATATATATATATTTATATTTATATATATATATATATATATATATATATATATATATATATATATATATATATAAACAAATAAGTTGGATGCCAGCTTGGGTGATTATCGGGGCCGAATGTACATAATATTTGACAGGCACTAGCCTCGGGTCAGTAGAACACAGGGGCGAATGTCTATAGGCGACTAAGTCAACGACAAAGTTGTCAAAACTAACCTCGACTGACCAGCGCCTTTATTAGCTATATATCGAAAAATATTTCCCACATAGGAACTCTTTGTCAACTCATGAGGTCGTACAATCAAAAAAATGTCTAGGGTACTTTGACTTTGAACATCTGACTAATTTTTGCCATAGACCTGGTACATAAATTTGGCAATATGGCACAAAAGGTTTACAAAATGATCGCGGTAGAAATTCTCCTTATATAAGCTATATATTGAAATACATTTTGCCTAAATAAACCCCCTGGTATGGTGTAAGCTTGCAAACCAATGTCCATAGATTAAAAAAAAACTGTCATATCTAGGAGAAATCGACAAAGTGTTGTAAGCTGACCAACGTATTTTCTTAATAATTAATTTATAATTTAAATTTTAAATTCTCAAATGTTTTTAAAACTAAACTAAGCTTTGGTATTAACCTTTATATATATATATATATATATATATATATATATATATATATATATATATATATATATATACATATATATATATATATATATATATATAACTATTATTACTAATATAAGTACACTATTTTCAAAAGGCTGCTTAATTTTATAAAGTTCCTTTGAATAAACGCGTTTACTATTTAACACTTGATTGCATATTGTATTTTAATTATCTGTACAGCCAAAATGTCTAACAGAAGCCACTATTCTATTGAAACTGCATCACAACAGAATTATAGAGTTCTTTGGCTTTGAAATAAAAGAAAGTATACTGTATTTATTTTTCGAATACATGCCTCTAGTAAGTTATATTTATTTACAAATATATAAACATATATTTTATCTACTGTTGGCCGAAACATCCACATCCTCATTGTGCTAACAATATTACAATGTCTTTAAATTCGTAACCTTCATCAAGCATATATATATATATATATATATATATATATATATATATATATATATATATATATTTATTTATTTATTTATAGAAATATATATATATGTGTGTGTGTATGCATATAATGCTCACTTTTAAATGTTGATGATTAAAATATGTATCGCCTTATTTAGTTACATTTTTTAAAATATTTCTAAAACCTAACTATTCTTGTTGATAGCTACCGAAAAAAATAGTATATATTGAATAAAATCGTATCTCATTGAAGTTTATCTTTTTTATTTACAGACCTCATTTATTTTTAAATATTTTTTTTTCTGATTTAGCTAATAATATCATTACTTAAGTTTTAAATTAAAACAGTCTTCATTTATTTGAAGTTAACTTTATTAAAACTACACAGCTGAAATAAATGTAATAAAAATATAGCATTGCAGATTTTTGCAAATCGACGATATTAAATATTGGCTGTAGTATGTAATTATGAAACCTTTAGGACATAAATTATATGACATCGGCCTATAAAGAAAGTATGTGCTTAATTATATTCTCATACTCCTTTACTTTCCTTAACCTAAGTACACATCGAGAACATCTGATCGATTTGAACCTGTGTTCCAAAATCGAGTCTATGGCCAGCAGTTTTGCGACCACGATTTTCCTTAAAGGACTGTTTCATTATAGCACCCTTGTACTGACTATCGTGTCTTATTTAGTAAAGATTAACTATAGAGGCGTTGCTGTAACAAATTGTACGTCTGTAATGCCTTTAAACTAAAAATAATGCTCAACATATATATATATATATATATATATATATATATATATATATATATATATATATATATATATATCAAGAGTTTATTTTCAAGACATGAAAAGCTACGCCTCTGCCCCATTTTTTAAAGCTACTCAGTTACATCTTGAAAACTTAACGATGATTTTCAAAACATAATATTTTTATTTTATTTGTTTATTGAAAAAAATGGGTTTCAAAACGCATTATAGTCTATTTTATATCATCAAAATGCGGTATCTATTTTGACCAATTCGTGTGAATAGTATTATTTATCTGCGTATGCGCACTAAGCATCTCTAAGGGAAACTGGTTAATATGTCGGAGCTACGATGGTCTCGACGAAAAAATTGCTTTGATAATAAAAACAAGGGAAAGTCATGCACAGATGAGTAAAAGAAAAGATAATTGTTCTAAGGGGTCGTATATAAATGACTTCACACTCGTAGGGGAAAGTGTGGGGGGGGGGGGTCCGTATTTTGTGACTGTGTGTGATTAGGGGCAGGGGTTGTTCAAATGTTCGAATGAGCAATTAATAATTAATTTCAATGATACGTTTCTTAAATAAATCTTGCAAAACAAATCGGAATGTGTGATATGAATAAGAAATCTTTATTATATAAAGAATATACATTTTTAACACGTTTTGTAGCTCATAGTCAATAAAAAGATTGAAAAAATATTAGTCAAAGTAGATATCGAAAGATATTACATATTTCATTTCCGCCCTAAAAAGGATGTTTTAACTCATATATACCAATGTGCTGTTGCTTTCCGAAACTTAATTAAAAAATAAAATTTTAAAATACCATTCTTTTTGTATCATAAAAAGAACTAACTAGTTATTTTCTATCATAGTAATTCAATAAAACATCTTTAAAACCAGAGATCATTTTATATAGTGCATTATTGTTATTTTTAATTGCATTTTAGGGTTCTTTAAAAGACTATATAAAGAAAAACGGCAGTCTCAATGAAACCAAAGTATTTAGATTTACCAAGCAAATACTTAAAGGTGTTTCATATCTTCACAACTTTGATCCCCCTGTTATCCACAGAGATATTAAAGGTAAGAATAATTAGCATTAACTCTTTTTTTTTTCGTCATTTGACTATTTTCAAATAATGTTTTCAATTTTGTTTTCTTTAAAAAGAAAATTATACAACAGTATGCTGGAATAAGTTGTTCTTTATATACACTTTTAGTCATAAATATAATTGTATGTTTTCTGTTCCAAGCTACGTACCAGCAGATAAAAACTGTACGCCTTTTAACTTATTTTTTTATATTTTTCGACTTTATTTATTGAGTCCAATTGAAAATGTTTAGAAATAATCTACTTTAAAAAAAATCCTTACAAGCTACGTGTTTTTAACAAGTATGAATTAGTAAAATATATTTTATATTTTAAATAAGAATATTTTTGTAGTGTTTCGATTTTCGTTTCGTTTTAGGTTTCCCGATAGTTCAGTTGAATATTGTGTTTGGATCCTTTTATTTTATTTTGTATTATAAGTACATATGATTATCACTTCTGACCACATTGATCTAGATTTTTATTTGATCTTAACTCTTGAACACCGTTTATATGAAACCATATTTTATAAGGACAATACAAGTTTATTTTGAGACCTTTCAACATAATTCAGCAAGTAGTAAGAAAAAACAACATCCTTACTAAAATCTTTAGAGAGATTATTAGAGAGTTCATCAATTAGTATTATTACGATATTGAATAGTTTTTCTTTTTTACCAAATATCCAAGGAGGCAACATATTAATGAAAGATGAAAATAACATAATGCTGGCAGATTTTGGAATTTCAAAAATACTAGAATCAACGAGTCCAAGAACATTTATAGGCACAGCTAAATACATGGCGCCTGAAGTTGTTTTGGCGGATAACGATACAGCTTACACTATAAAGGCTGACATTTGGTAATTATTTTCATTTTTGTTTAATAATATTAGTGTAGGCCTACAGCTAATTTAGGAGATTTGATCTTAGTTTTTTTCATATAGATTGTATACATTAACTTTTTTTTCTAATTTCTAATATATTATAATTGCAATACTTGACTAACCATAAGAACAATATCAATGTTTCTTTGTATCTAATTTGATTTACCTAGTTCAGGGGAATAAAGATTGAAAATGTTTAATGAAAACTTACAAATTTTAAAAATATAATTGATTTTCCATACGTTATTAGCAAGAAAATATTTTATTAATATCAAATTATTACTATTACATAATTAGTCCTATCTTTCTGATGTTTTCAACAATTGTTTAATTTCAGGAGTGTCGGCTGTACAATTGTTGAAATGGTTACAGGAAAGCCACCATTTCCGAAGTTCCTAGAGCAACAGATTATTTTCTGGCATGCAAACAGCAAAAGACCAGTGTATGAACTACCCGCTAGCACGTCAAATGCATTGCGAGAACTACTGGATCAAATATTTAATTTGAATCCCACTGAGAGACCGACGTCAGACGAGCTGCTTCAACGTTTTCGTTTTTAAATACAACTTGTTTTTATAGTGTTGGGCATCCTATAATTTTTAGAAACTTTAACGTAAAACACTTAAAATGCCAATAGTAGTAACAAAAGTACAGTTCCCTTTCAAACCTAACTATCTATGGGCCAAGTGAAGTAGAGTTCAAGTGTTTCTGTGACCTCGGCATATGAAGAGATAGTGTAGTCACCACTATACTCTGTCGCCTTTATTTACTCATCAGAGCTGTGTGGACTCAGGGTAGGTCTACTGACTTGAAACCAGATTCGAATTCGAGGCTTACGGGTTAATGGTCCAAGTCTCTACCGCTATGTCAATCCGTCCCATGAATAGCAGAACTATAAACATTAAATTTAGGCGGATATCAGATATTTGTGTGGCTTTGCTTTAAACTACATGTTTCACATTTTAATTTACTTTGAGAAATCAAAGTTAAAAACAGATTACCATTGTTAACTGAAGTAATATGATTCTTTTGACTAAGTAGTATCCAGATAATTTTTACATGATCAGTTATATAAAAAATATGAACTGATACTTTAAATAAAATATGTAACTTGACTTAATATATATTAATTTACATTTGATGTTTATAATTCTATTATTCATTACAATAATTCTAATAATATAATTATAATTCTATTAAACATTTATTAGGTTATCTGCTTAATCTTACAATATACGAAAAACAATACAGTGCAGTGGTGTGTAATTACCATAAAATTATAAACACATATATGTTCGTATTATTAAACTACATTGTATATATACAATTAATAGTCAGTTTCAGTGATAATCATTACAATTAAAACATGCAATTTAAACTATATATAAGCAAGCAATTGAATGTAATAAATGTTTTAATTACCTAACAGCGCGATGTTAAATTTATTCCTATGTTTAATGTACTTTTAATGATATTGTATAGCGTAAAATGTTTAGATCAATTTAACTTTCATGCAAAGAAATCGTACGATTAATTATATTTTCATGTGTTTTTTTTGTTGTTTCAATGCAACGTCATTGTACCACCCATCTTAAGTAACACGTTTTAGTAAAGCTGCGTCATACATGTGTAGTCTTTACTAAGTTCCTAGCTAAGTAGCACACAAAGAAAGCATTACTTTTCAGACCATAGGCAGATGATGACCGCTACCTGTTAGATGAAGCGAACCCTTTTGAAATATTGGCTGAAGTCTTGGCCAACGGGCACAACATATGGAAACGCAATGGGGATATGTCTTGGATGTCTCACAACTGAAAACGAATAATAAAATGTAAATAAACATACAGATATTGCGTCAGTCTCAGTACTTAAATTATTATTTTTTTCTATGGATTTACTAAACATAGCTAGTTTGAGGATTTGAGTAATTTTTGTAACTAAACAAAATTTTAAAAAGCCAACAAACAGTTGTTTTTCTTTTTGTTTTTATCACTGAAAATAAAGATAGGGTAACTAGTTCATGTGTTTTAAAACTATACAGTTATAATTTAAAAACTATCTGCTACGTTTCAAATAAAAATTAAACCAAAGTGGAGTTTTCGGATCTCGATCAAGGAGTTTCTGTACCACCAATCAATGTCACTCTTACTTAAATAACATTTCATGTTATAATTAATTAAAGCTTAATCAAACTTGTACGACGCGAAGCATGTGCAGGATTAACAATTACATTATTTCCTAAAATTTATTTTAATTTTAGAAATCCTCTTTCAATTTTAAGTTACGATTTTTACAGCTGTTATGAAGGCAACATTTAAAAACTTAACCGGGAGTGACCTCCCCTAATTTTTCTCGAAAATTCTTATAAAACACTACGGGGGTTGTCAACTCGGGATATATACAATATTCTAATCCATTATTTAATTACTGAAACTTATAAAATAAACCGGTAGTGACCTCCCCTAAACTTTCACGAATATTCTTATATAAAACAACAGGGGCTGGGAACTCGGGATATAGACATGCTTTTAATCTATTTTAAAAACTTAAAACTTTTAAAAATAAAATAAAATCTCGTAGAATAAGAATTGCACACCAAGTGAACGCCAAATAAAATGTGCATTATAGTACGGAATATTATTAGTACTTTATAAGTTCACATTCGTTTTTTGAGAAATCGGCAATAGCGTAAATTACTACTTCAGGTCAACGGAAATTACTCAAAATTTGAAAGAAGGTAGAGAATTAGATCTTTTACTTACACGTGAAATTTCATTTATCTATCTGAAATAGTACTTAAGTTATAGGCTTTTGAAAAATTCAAAGTAGAAAAAGTAACTCTTCCGGTTATCAGAAATCGCCCAAAAGTTAATAAGGATCTAAGATTTTGATATAATAATATATATGACATTTCATCAACTTAGCTGTAACGGTACTCAAGTTATTGTGTTTACAGACACACACACACAGACACACAGACACACACACAAACACACATACACAAACACACACATACAGACATACAGACAAGATTGCAAAACTGTTTTTCCGACTCAGGGAGGTGTAAAACGTCGAGATCTGCACAAATCTCAATTTTTTTTCTATACTTCGTATATACGACAATGTAAAAAGAATAAAATCTTGTAGAAAAAAGACTTGCGCACCATGTAAACACCAAACAATATGTGTATAATAATGCGGGATATTATTAGTACTAAATAAATACACATGCGTTTTTTCAGAAATCGGAAATAGCGTAACTTACTACTTCCGGTCAACGTAAATTACTCAAAATTTGTAAGAAGGCAGTGCATTAGAAATTTTACTTACTTCTAAAGCTTCATTAATCTATCTTAATAAACCGGGAGTGATCTCCCCTAAACTTTCTCGGATATTCTAATATAAAACTACGAGGGATGGCAACTCAGGACATAGACAATATTTGTAATCCATTTTTAATAACTTAAACTTTTTAGCGCAATTTCCATTCTGGAGAATTGCGTTTATTAACCCGTCATTTCTGGATGTATGAATGAATGGATGGATGGATGGATGGATGGATGTGTGTCCGCAGCTTTAAGTCGTATCTCCTCCTCAACGAAGCAATATCGATGACTAGTTCCAAAAGCAATTATGTTAAGCAAGTTTTGAGGATGAACATAGGCCATAAAAATTCCGGGTTTCTTTCATGGATTTCCCGGAAAAGCCAAAAAACCTCGAAAAAAAGCAGTTTTTGGCCCATATCTCGGCAACCAGACCACTTAGCGACTTGAAACATGTACCAATCGATTCCTGCCATAATTTAAAACAATATTGCCGAAGAAAGTTTTCAAAAATATCCTTTCGTTCGGTCACAAAAATTTTTTTGAATTAATTAAAATTTGGACCGAATTAGTAGGCATTTTATGCAACCACACCACACGCGTCATCACGTTCAGTAGCTGCGCCATCACGTTCAATGGCTGCGACGTCACGTTCGGTAGCTGGGCGCGCAATGGTTTTTAGTCATGTTACTCTATTGTAAATAAAACATGTAAAATACTGAAAAAAAATTAATAAAAAATGTTTTAATAACTAACCAATGGTTTTACTAACCCTGCTCTTGATTTACGCTACGACAGAGCTATTTTTAGATAACACAAGGAAATTGCGCTAAAATTGTCACTAGACTTTTTTTAATTACTTGTTTTATAATAGAATGGAATCTCGTAAAAAAAAATTGCACACTAAGTGAACGCCTAATAAAATGTGCATAATAGTGCGCAATATTATTAGTACTTTATAAATTTACGTGCGTTTCTTGAGAAATCGGAAATAGCGTAAATTAGTACTTCCGATCAACGGAAATTACTCAAAATTTGACAGAAGGTAGAGAATTAGATTTTTTACTTACGTGTGAAATTTCATTTATCTATCTGAAATAGTACTTAAGTTATAGGCTTTTGAAAAATTCAAAGTAGAATAAGTACCACTTCCGGTTATTGGAAATCGCTCAAAAGTTAATACGGATCTACGATTTTGATAAAATACTTATATATGAAATTTCATCAACCTAGCTGTAACGGTACTCAAGTTATCGTGTTTACACACGGACACACACAGACACACACACAGACACACACACACACACACAGACATACGGACAAGATTGCAAAATTATGTTTTTCCGTATCAGTGAGGTGTAAAACGTCGAGATTTTTAAAAAATCTCGATTTTTTTTTGCACGATTACAATACTTTCTCTATAAGCCTACTTCGTAGGCCTATATACGAGAAAGTAAAAAGAACTCAATTTATAAGCTTTTGAAAAATTGAAAGTAGATAAAATTTCATTGCCTGTTTCCGGAAATCCATGAAAAGTTGATACAGAACTTCAAATTTGATATAATAGGTCCTACTTATATATGACATTTCATCAACCTAGCTGTAACTGTACTCAAGTTATCGTGTTTACAGACCCATACACAAACACGCAGACATGCACACAGAGACATAAGAACAAAATTTCAAAACTATGCTTTTCCGACTCAGGGTGGTGTAAACGGTCGATACTTACAAAAATCTCGATTATTTTTTCGCACGATTACAATACTTTCTCTATACTCGATAAACGAGAATGTAAATAAATTAAATTCTACACTAACAGGAGTTTTAATGCGTATTTTTATTGAGTATAATATTAGGCCTATTGTGCAATTCAAATTTGCGCATCGAGAATTTCAGCGCGGCATCAAACATGAAAATAAACGGAAGTCACGCAATCGTTTAATCAATGATAAACATGAAGGAAAAGAAAATGTGCTAAGATGGCTCAACATATACTAGGGATAATATTCCTTAGTATCTGGCCCGTGGCTACACAAAGTCAGTTACCAAGTACGTTGTTTTTGCATTATATTTATCAAGCTGTAGTATAAGTATGTTTTAATATATATTTATAACATGTAACATTTGGCTTGTTGCTTGAAAGATACAAACGAAAAGAAATGGAGGCGACCGTGAATAATCTCGCAATTTTTTGGTACAATTTTTGTTTTTAAAACCTGGTGCGATTGTATTGAAATAAATCAGGTTATAGAAACCCGAATGAATTTTGACGGACTTAACTTAAGATTTGGTGTTCAAATACTTTTTGTTTGATAACGCCCAGAGATTGTAAAAAGAAGTTGTAAAAAATACGTTTTTAATACTAAGATCTACTACACTGGAGAAAGTTATAGCGTATCACTAATCAGTGTTTAATAATACGAGTACCTTAAAAGAACATTATAGAGCGCTGTAAAGGTAAATAAAGTTAATTGTCTACCCAGCACGGGTCTACGACAAATTCCCGAAAGACACTTGCCCGAATGCGACAAACGCCCGAATGGACACTTGCCCGAATGCGACAAACGCCCGAATGGACACTTGCCCGAATGCGACAAATGCCCGAATGGACACTTGCCCGAATGCGACAAAAGCCCGAATGGACACTTGCCCGAATGCGACAAATGCCCGAATGGACACTTGTCCGAATGCGACAAACGCCCGAATGGACACTTGCCCGAATGCGACAAACGCCCGAATGGACACATGCCCGAATGCGGCATTTGTCGCATTCGGGCAAGTGTCCATTCGGGAAAACGTCCGACTCCCCCAGCACTGATGGGTACCTAACTCACGTAAGGGAAAGTAAAGGCGGCTGAGAATAGTGACCTCTACTTTAAACGTCTCATCAGAGGCGTAGCGGGGGGGGACATATGTCCCGGGCGCCGACCTTAGGGTGGGGGGCGCCAAAATGGGTTGGTAAAACAAATTGACAGTTTCAGGGGAGTGCAAATCAAAAGTTCGAAGGGGGGGGGGGGGTGAAATCGAAAGTATGTCCACGGGCGCCGGGAAGAGTCTCTACCCCTCTGCGTCCCATAGACCGTCGGGTTAGGATGAGGAACTTTACTTTCTTACATTTGTTTTAATATTTTAGGCTTAATGTGGATACTATATTTTTAAAAATTCAGTTGCCGGATGAAACAAAAAAAATATTTTAGCTGCTTTCGTAATGGCTGCATTTATATTCATAAGCTATTTTAATATATTCTATATCGCAGTGACTTACTACAAAACTATTCTATATCGCAGTGACTTATTAAAAAAAATATTCTATATCGCAGTAACATATAAAAAAACTACTCTATATCGCAGTGACATATAAAACAATCGTACCAAGAGAAGTCAAGCTCCATGAAACATTCTATATGTTCTGTGACACTAGCCTTGCTGGGATTGGCGTAGACCAAACACCGTTAGGAGTTCAGAAAGTACAGCTGACGATGGGATCAATGCATGCGACGTTTGATAATACAGTAAGGTTACAGTATTACACCAACCATATATACATATAGAGGGTTATGGCTAGGCGTAGTGTTATGGTCAAGGTTAGGCTTAAACCAATGTCTAGAGATGGTTTTGGTTTT